TAGCCAATGGTCAGTGATGATGGGAGTCCATCAACATGTTGTTTGGGGACCCAAGATGGAAGGACACTGTGAAGCAGTGCCTTGAGATCACACCATGGTGAGAAAGTTGACCACATTCCAAATGCAGTAGACAACTAGAAATGTTAAGTGTGACAAAATCCTTTGCAGGAAAGATCTCTGGAGCCTTCCCTTATAGAAATGTGTTTCTTAGCAACTGTGTAATTCTATAGTTAGCTTCATTAATTTGAGGGAGGGGGGAATTATTCTCTCCTTTTCTCTCCTCTTCTAAAAACTGACTGAAGTCTGCATCAGGTTGCCCAAAGAAACTGACTGACAGAGAGAAGGAAAAAGTAATTAATGAATTAATGAATGCAATTCATTATCTCAAGATGTGGTGGAGACCTCTAGCTTAAAGGTCTTTTTTAAAAAAGTACATAGTTTTACAGAGGACAGCTCTATTAACCATGACAGCTAAAAATAGAGCTTAGATATGTCCTTGCTACTTGATGTGGGAGTCTGGAGAGCAATGACAGAAGCCCTCCTCAATCTGTGACCTTCCCTAGGGCCATCTGTTTGTCCCATGTTGGAGAGACTGGTAGACTAGTTTGGCCTGACCTCAAAGGCTACCAGTCCCTTCCATGCCAGCCTGTCTCCACCTCCCCCTCCAGGTGCCCCCCCAATACACACACTCAATTGCTGATTCTTTCACAAAATAAAGATGCAAGTTTTTGTTGTCTGTTCTGGTTAAGCTAATACAATTTCAGTAACTTCTGAAAAAAGCACTTCATGGTTTCCTGGATGGTAAGACTAAAGAGCCCTTAAGCTATCAGAAGAGTGTGTGTGTGTGTGTGTGTGTGTGTGTGTATGGGGCTAAACACTCTCTCCAACAAGAGAAAGCCCCCAGGAGAGTATTAAAATCACAGAATCATGCAGTACAGGGAAGTGTGTGAATAGGCTGTTAGACCTTTTAAATATCTCGTTCTAGTCCACTTACAGTGCTTCCCCACTCTACCCCTCTTGCAGTGATCAGACCACACTGTTTAGTAAGTTTAAATGCTTTACTTACAAACTCCAAAGGTCAGATTCATGCATTATTTTATACAGCAGCAAGTAAACACTGGCTGAAATATTGGGGGGGTATAGTGAAATAGCTCTAAGCATGCAGTCTGAGCTTGTAGGAAGCAAGCTCAGGCATGTCTTGTCTTGGTGAATTCATATGGGGAAAGAGAGCAGACAAAGGAGGAAACTTAACTTCCTTCCTTGTAGGTGAGGGGCGTGACCCAGCTGAGTCTAGGAATACAATTCTGTGGTCTTAATCCCTTCATGCATTAACTAGCCATAATCTTAGTGGTTATATTTGATAGCAGCTTCTCAAACACAAAATGTGTTATTTCCTTGCAAATACTGTACATCCAGATAATCTGGAGCTCCCCTTGAGTTAGAGTCACAAGTTGTTCTCTAATCATAATTCTTTGTTATTCACTGCAGGGTACTGCTGTGAAATCAGTGCTTCTCAAATAGCTAATTTACCTGGCCCTTGGAGTCTCTCAGCTCCTTGAAGCTTTTTTGTGAGTTTGTCAGAGTTCATAACTTCTGACTGGATGGCAAACGAAGCAATCAGTTAGCCTTTAATTAAAAACCCAGCATGCCTATGCCAGAAAGGGTTTTAAGCTGGTTACCATTATGAATTGCGATCTACAGGGTGACAGGGACAGACTGCCGGGCTGAGGCATGACAACTGGAACATAATCCTCCCTGATTAATTAAAAGCAGAAGACTGTTAATCTCTAGGTTAATCTGAACAATTTGTCACAAATATTTTTTTAAAAACCAACTCACATAAGATTGCCAGACAATTTCGGTTACAAGGTCAAACTAGGGGATAACAAGCCGCTTAACTCAACCTCTTATCCCATTTTTATGTTAGTGCATCAATATTCTCATTTTGTTCATGCTGCTGTTTCCAGATACAGCCTGCCAAAGTCTTCATATGCCCAAACATTGTTGACGACATTTTTGTATTTTCATTTTTAAAAAAATACTTCATCCACAAAATCTCAGAGACTGTTACCTAAGTTCAGTATGGTATTGTTATGGTAGCATGGGTGACCTTTTGGAGCATGGGATGGACTTTACAAGTGCAGCCTGCCTCACCACAGATCCATTTTTACAATTTGCCTCTTTCTTTCTCCAGGCTTCCTTAGGCTATTACAATGGGAGTGTGTATGTATGCATATGTGTGAAATGGTAGGCTTTTAACATGGAGGTCTGATCTGTAAAAGGTAAAAGGTAAAGGACCCCTGGATAGATAAGTCCAGTCAAAGGTGACTATGGGGTTGCGGCGCTCATCTTGCTTTCAGGCCGAGGGAGCCGGCGTTTGTTTGCAGACAGCTTTCCGGGTCATGTGACCAGCATGACTAAACTGCTTTTGGAGCAATGGGACACCATGATGGAAGCCAGAGCGCATGGAAATGCCATTTACCTTCCCACTGTAGCAGTACATATTTATCTACTTGCACTGGTGTGCCTTCAAGCTGCTAGATTGGCAGGAGCTGGCATACAGCTACAGGAGCTCACCCCGTCACAGGGATTCGAACCACCGACCTTCTGATTGGCAAGCCAAGAGGCTCAGTGGTTTAGGCCACAGCGCCACCTGCGTTCCTGATCTGTAGGCTCATCTGTAATTTCCTGTTGGCCGTGTTCTACAAGGCTGTTCAGGGAAGCATTTAAACGACCTTGACTGAAACATATTTAGCTGCGAGGTGTGATTTTATATACAGTACTGTATATGTATTTTAATGGCTTTATTTGGCATTGGTTGTTTTATCAAGTTACTGTTGCCCACCCTGAGATTCTATTCTATTTATTTATTCATATGACAGGGTTTCTAAACCGCACAAACATCAAACTCTCTAAGTGTTTTCCATAAAATATAAAATACACATGGGAGAATCTAGATGGAGGGTAATAGATTATATATATTACACACACACACACAATTTATTTATTTATCCATTGCCTTATATCACAACGGTCTTAAGGTGACTTACCATAAATACAGAGAAGAAAATATATAAATTGCATGGAATAAAATGTGATCATACACTGATTCCCAACAATTAACCCCAAATTCCTTCAACAGACATTCAACGTGTACCTTTGCTACGCATTGTTACCTGCTCTCAACTGCTGTTTAGTTTGCATTGTTTTGACTTACATTGTTCTTAAATTTTGTTTGATTGTACTGGAGCACCCCCCCCCCCAGTGATCTCAGTCACTCTGAGTGTCCTGAAAGCAGAAGACTTGAATATTCAGTAATAATAACTGTTTCTTTCCCTTTTATTTTTTACAAGTAGGTGCAGAACATTGCATATGGACCCGTACAAACGTGCAGTGTGTATGCAGTAAATGAGTTTCCAATAATCAAAGACCTTGGATAGGCTTGCTCCACAGCAGAAAATGATACACTTGGGGGGGAAATTGCTTATTTATTTATTGGATTAGTGTGCTGCACCTTCCTCTAAGGAGCACAGGAAGGCAAACTAATCAATCCTAATACAATTACAATCTATTTAAAAAACAGTTTAAAACAAGCTTCTAAAAAGCAATTAATAATGATATATACACAGTTTTATGGAGAAGCCTTAAAACAGAAAAAAAAGCCACATGGCAAGTGCTGGTCCAGTAAGGATTTGAGTACAAATCCATATAAACAATGTGAGTGTATTTTAGCGAGCAGGCTTAAGCCTCACGTGGTCTTGAATTCGAGTCTATGATCTATCCCTGCCATCGACCCCATTATGTAGCTTCATATTATTTCATACCCTCCAACATTTCTCCAGTGAAAATAAGGACGTCCCATTCCATAATGATACGTTTGCTATTTTTACCCCACACATCTTACTGGGTTGCCCCAGCCACTCTGGGCAGCTTCCAACATTTATAAAAACATAATCAAACATTAAACTTGTTTTTTTTTTAATGCCTATACAGAATTGCCTTCAGATGGCTTGGAGGTCGGATAACGCCATACCCTCCAACATTTCTCCAATGAAAATAGGGACATCCTAAGGAAAAGTGGCTTGGGACGTGGGTGGCGCTGTGGGTAAAAGCCTCAGCGCCTAGGACTTGCCGATCAAAGGTCAGTGGTTCAAATCCCCGCGGCGGGGTGCGCTCCCGTTGCTCGGTCCCAGCGCCTGCCAACCTAGCAGTTCGAAAGCACCCCCGGGTGCAAGTAGATAAATAGGGACCGCTTTCTAGCGGGAAGGTAAACGGCGTTTCCGTGTGCGGCTCTGGCTCGCCAGAGCAGCAATGTCACGCTGGCCACGTGACCCGGAAGTGTCTTCGGACAGCGCTGGCCCCCAGCCTCTTGAGTGGGCGCACAACCCCAGAGTAGGGCAAGACTGGCCCGTACGGGCAGGGGTACCTTTACCTTTAAGGAAAAGTGAGACATTCTGGGATCAAATCAGAAACTGGGATAGCTTCTCTAAATCTGGAAAACAGGGACACTTGGAGGGTCTGTTATTTATCTACTTCGTTACTGCTCAGCCTGAGTTCCTTCTGTAGGGGAAAAAATGGACAAATACAGATGTGGGTCCTTTTGAGGGCATCTTAATTATAAAGCACACATAAACATACTGAAAAGTTTTGTGGTTTTTTTGCCAATATTACACGTGCCATTCATATGGCTAGAACTGCGTGCATCATCTTGAGCTGCTTGGGGTATCGCTTTCTTTGCACTCCCAGCCCCCACTGGATTTCCCCAGGGCACATTTTTGCTTCACTTGGACGGCCCTCCAGAACAGAGCGGGCCGGCAGCCCCTGCTCTCCCCGCCAGGCTTTCCCTCTCCGGGGTTGTCATCCCTGTGTCTCCCGCTCGCCCTCGCTCCGGGCCTACTCGACCAAACTCCTCCTTCCTCCTCCCGCCATAAGGGACAAGCGGCTTAGGGCGGTCGGTCGCTATAGCGACGGCCAATCAGGAACCCGGCGGGGCGGGGCCTGGCCGGGGAAAGTCGTTGGGCGCGCCCGGATTATGCGAGCCAAAGGAGCCTGAGGCGGGTGTCGCTGAGGGAAGACTCTGGCCGGTTCGGGCGCCAGGGGCGGGAGAAGGCGCTTGAGAGCGCTGAGGGAAGGTTCCCTCTCGCCTTTCAGCTCCTCGGCAGTGGGGCTCTTCGGGTCTTCGTCCTCCGTCGGGTTGGATTCCGGGGCGCTTCCTCTCAGCGCCGTCCGCCAGGCACCAGGTGAGGAAGGGCTGCAGCCCAGGCGCGCCTCCTGAGGGGGAGAGGAGAAAGTTTGGCAAAGCGCGCGCCTCACTTTTTTGGGGGGGGGGGGCTTCGGGCGCGTTCGCGTCTGCTTAACCCCATTCCGCCCGTGGTGGGAGGCTCACTTTGCAGCGAGTCCGGCTGGAAGTCGGCGGCGCTTGGCTCTGGGTTGCGCCCCTGCGATGGAGCCGCTCGGTTCCACAGGTAACGATTGGATGGACCGCTATCAAACGCATCTGGATTTCTGTAGGCATATAGAGAGGCAGGGGCGTAACCGGGGGTGGGGTGGGGGGTTGCAGCTGCCCCATGCCAAATCAAGTAAATAAATAAAAATGCTTAACTAGTAGAAAGATTTTGACAGGGTTTTTTTCCCCCTGAGCACCTGGGGTCAAAAGAAAGTACAGTTACATACGCTTCAGGTTACAGACTCCGCAAACCCAGAAATAGTGCTTCAGGTTAAGAACTTTGCTTCAGGATGAGAACAGAAATCGGGCTCCGGCATGCCTGGCGGATGGTACCACTGTAATTTGAAACAACTGTTGTTGAGACATTCCGAATCTGCTAGACCGAGGATGATTGGCAGGTGGGTGTCCTGCCCCCCCCATTCATTCTGACTACACCCATGTATAGAGGGTGTTTCTGGCTGCAACTGCCTCCCCTTGCATTGAGGCACATAAGTGGGTATAGCATACCAGCTGGGGGAAAATGATGTCTTTTTCCTTACTTTCCCCAACAGGTTGTTTTAAACACTGCTAGAGTTCAAAACACCAACCATCTGTTCCAAGGACATATTAATGTCTAGCAATGTGTGTGCGAATATACAGTGATACCTCGGGTTAAGAACTTAATTCGTTCTTGAGGTCCGTTCTTAACCTGAAACTGTTCTTAACCTGAAGAACCACTTTAGCTAATGGGGCCTCGCCAGAGCACGATTTCTGTTCTCATCCTGAAGCAAAGTTCTTAACCCAAGGTACTGTTTCTGGGTTAGCGGAGTCTGTAACCTGAAGCGTATGTAACCTGAAGCGTATGTAACCCGAGGTACCACTGTACAGGCTATACACCCCATGCCTTGACTCTCTTCTCACCATTCCTGAGGGGCAAGTTTGAAAGATGGGGAATTTAGCCAGAAGTAGAGTTTACCTGAAGTTCCTTAATGGGAATTATGGCAAAATTCTGAAGTCATGATTCACAGACCAAAGATCATTATCATCCAACATCCACAATATTGCACCAGTGCTCTCTTAACTTTGATAAGAGCTAGTATTTGGTATTTGAAATAAACATACTGTAGTTTAGTTCTTTGTTGAATCTTCAATAAAAAATGGATAAATATATCTTCAGCTTCTATGAAACTAAAATGTGTTTTTTGTTCATTTGGTAGAAAGCGATAAATCTGTAGGTACTGTTAATTCTTGAATTCAGTAACTGCAAATCTAAAATGGGGCTTTTTGATAGGATTTAAATCATGGCTGTTCCCCTGTAAATAGGTGCTTAGCTCCAATAGCGTTTTTGTAAAGCTATTTATAGGAATCTCCCAGATCAGCTCATGCTGCCATGAGAATGTTGCAAGGTAGAAATTATTTGTCATGTTGTCAGGAAAAACGGCTCTCTATTACATACTCTCAAAATATTATCTGGATTGAAAATCTGTCATTTTTAAAGGAAAATCCAATGGTAAAACAATGCATTGAAATGCTAATGGGACCGCACTGGCTTGATCTGTTTTTTTGTTTTTTTAAGAAAGCTATTTAGTGCAGCGGCAACCAACATGGTGTCTTCCAGATGTTGTTAGACTACAGGTCCCATCATCCCTATCGACAAAGTAAGAACACAAAATACATAATAAAGCAGAAACAAACCAATAACTCCTTCTCCCACAAACACGTTTAAAAGGCCACAGAATGTTAATCAGCCAACGTCTTGGTTATAAAGAAATGTTTTCACCTGGCACCTAAGGATATATAATGAAGGCGCCAGGTGAGCCTTCTTGGGGAGAGCATTCCACAAACAGGGAGCCACTGCAGAAAAGGCTCCGTCTCATGTTACCACCCTCTGGACTTCTCATGGAGGAGGCATCAAATGATTATTGCAGTGTCTGGATTGGTTCATATGGGGAGAGGCGGTACTTGAAATATAGTGGTCCCAAGCTGTTTAAGGTCTCATTGGTAAAAACAAGCACTTTGAATCGTGCCCGAAAACCAATTGGCGGCCAGTGCAGTTGGGCCAGGATCTGTGTGATATCCTCAAACCGTCTTGTGCTGGTGAGCAGCCTGGCTGCCGAATTCTGCACCAGCTGAAATTGCCAAGCTGTCTTCAGAGGTGGCCTTGTGTATATTGTGTTGCAGTAATCTAACCTAGAGGTTACCAGAGCATAGAGGTTGGGTTTCAGCACCATCATCCTCAGGCAGCATGGCCAGTGGTCAGCATTGGTGGGAGCTGTAGTTTTAACAACACCTGGAGGGCCACAGGTTCCCCAGTCCTGGGCTTTCTAGATGGTACTGGAATGACATGGGTAGTGGCTTGCATGTTTCCATAGGAGCAAATGAATCAGCCCTCTGAAGGATGCCATTTGGGAGATGTGATGGTACTGATCCCATTCATTCATTCTCCACCCCAGGAGGTGATCAGAAGTATTAAAGCTGTCAGCATCATCTTGTGTTTGCTGCTTGCGTGCAGAGATATACGTGGACAGCCTGTCCCTGGGTATAGTGATCTTTGGATACTTACTTAGTTTAAACTTTTTTATCCCACTGTTCAGCCAAAGAAAATCTCCCAGAGTAGTTCACAAATATCAGTAATAGGATAGCTCCCACCCTCAAATTTGTAGCCAAAGACATGACACAAAAGGAAAAGGGATTAGGAGGGAAGAAGGAGCAAAAGCAACATTGAGCACTAGTTCTTTACTTCAGAGTTCTTGTAATCACCAGCTGGAGTAGAAATTTCTAGAAAATTATGACAATCACGTTTATTGTCTCTCAGCTAAGCCAATGGAGAGGCGCTGTACAGGCAACAACTGTTTTGCATGGGGTTTATGTTCCTGAGTAAGCCTATCCCGCCCCCTTTTCCTGCCACTTCTGGGTTGCAGCAGTGCGTGTGCACAGTCATCAATTGGTCATTGCCTGCAGTCTCTTCTCTCTCTCTCTCTCTCTCTCTCTCTCTCTCTCTCTCTTCTTTCTGTGCTATAGTTTGAGGGAATGATTTCTCCATTAGCTATGTATTTAAATAATTTGCATGCATTTAACAATATATATTTCAAAATAACAAGAAAAACTATGTTGCATTTTTTTTAAAAAAAGGAGGTCAAAGTGTAGCTTTTTAAAAAGTTTCAGTCTGAGATAAGGAGTTTTACTGGTTTCAAAGCTTCTTTGGACAGGTATAATTTATCTAACATATTGATTATGTCCAATGTGCATTGAAAAATCATATCACTTTTCTGCAGTGAATTTGCCGCTGCCTTCATACATATTCTTGCATGGTATGATAGTACTGGGGGAGGCATAGGATTCCTGGGAAGTAGGCTAGAACCAGCAGGCCTTATCATCCTCTGAAAATATAGGATGCAAATGTGTTTAACAATAGCTTAGTGGATCTTTTGCTAAGCAACTTGGAAGCTGTGCTGTTTAAGCAGAGAAGCATGAGTTCTTGTTTAAACCTTGCCCTCCCTGACATTTTCCTACTCCATTTTTTTACTGTTTTTATCCCAGTAGGTTTCCAGATGTGTGCAAGGATGAGGGTGCACCTGGAACCTTGAAAGAGGGAAATATAGCCACAGGGAGGGTTCTGGAGAGTAGCAAAGCGGATGCAAAAAGGGAATAAATACATATCTATACACAACTACAGCTTTTCCACTCAAAATCACAACCACCAAATCTGCTTTTCTGAAGCCAAAATAAGTACCGTATTTTTCGCTCTATAAGACGCACCAGACCACAAGACGCACCTAGTTTTTGGAGGAGGAAAACAAGAAAAAAAATATTCTGAATCTCAGAAGCCAGAACAGCAAGAGGGATCGCTGTGCAGTGAAAGCAGCAATCCCTCTTGCTGTTCTGGCTTCTGGGATAGCTGTGCAGCCTGCATTCGCTCCATAAGACGCACACACATTTCCCCTTACTTTTTAGGAGGGAAAAAGTGAGTCTTATAGAGCAAAAAATACGGTACATTGGATCATTTCCATGTATTGTGTTGTTTGTCCCATAGCTGAAGGAATTCCAAGTCACTATATATTGTGGCATTGCTGTAGTCCCATCCTTTCTACCAGAGGATTATGGTGTTGGTAGACCATGTGGGTAGTTGATCCATGGCTCCAAGGGCTATAAGCTTCAATGGAGTGCATTGCTGGAATTCTTCTCAGACCACCATATCCCATGGACTTGGGGGGGATAAGCTGATTTAATTTCATTGACTGCAAAGGGATTACATCAGTTTAAACTGGAATACTTTGGCATAAGTGGGTCATGGAAAGGTCTGAAGATAATTCCGAACACTTCTGAGAATGCTTTGCTTCACATTTAAGATCTAATTGATGTGTAGTTAAGCCATCTAGAAAAGGGAATTTTGATTTTGACATGTTGGGCAAAAATCACGGGTTGGAACACAAGAAACTGCCTTAGTCAGGCTATTGGTCCATCTAACTCAGTGTTGTCTACACTGTTTGAAAGAGTTATTAATGATAATAACTCTTTCATAATGATAATGATATTGATAATGATTTCCAAAATGTACAAATTGTTATTAGAATGGGAAATGAAAGAAAAGTAGGTGAAGTCGGTGATGATTCACTGGGCAAGAGATATAGGCCATAATACTGAAATGGCCGCATGGGAGAAGTTGTGGAATGTAGACCTAAAATTTACAGCATGTTAATTAACTACATGAAAATGATGTATGGTTGGTAGTTAACTCCTAGTAGATTGGCAAAAATGTATAAATCAAAATCAAACACATGCTGGAAATGTAAAGAAAAAGAAGGTACTTTCTAACATATGTGGTGGTCTTGTAAGAGAGTACAGTGGTACCCCGCAAGACGAATGCCTCGCAAGACGGAAAACCCGCAAGACGAAAGGGGTTTCTGTTTTGGAGGCGCTTCGCAAGACGAATTTCCCTATGGGCTTGCTTCGCAAGACGAAAGCCCATAGGGAAATCGCCGGGGACCTGTTTTAAATTGCTGGCGGTCGGGAGCAAAGACTTTCGCCCACAGCCGGCCTTCAGAAGAGGTCCTGGACCTCATCTGAAGGCCGGCGGGGGGCAAAAGTCTTTGCTCCCCCCCGCCTGCCTTCCCGGGACAGCGGAGACTTCTCCGCTGCCCCGGGCGATCTTAAAATGCTGGCGGGCGGGAGCGAACGCTTCGCTCCCGACCCCCAGCATTTTAAAATCTTTGGGTGAGTGTCTGCAAGCCTCGCGCACCCGGCAGGAGGTCCCGCCGGGTGCGCGAGGCTTGGGGCGGCAGCCTGTCACCCGAAGCACGGGGAGCCCTTCGGAGAGCTCCCCTTGCTTTGGGCGAGTGTCTGCAAGCCTCGCGCGCCCGGCAGGAGGTCCCGCCGGGTGCGCGAGGCTTGGGGCGGCAGCCTGTCACCCGAAGCACGGGGAGCCCTTCGGAGAGCTCCCCTTGCTTTGGGCGAGTGTCTGCAAGCCTCGCGCGCCCGGCAGGAGGTCCCGCCGGGTGCGCGAGGCTTGGGGCGGCAGCCTGTCACCCGAAACACGGGGAGCCCTTCGGAGAGCTCCCCTTGCTTTGGGCGAGTGTCTGCAAGCCTCGCGCGCCCGGCAGGAGGTCCCGCCGGGTGCGCGAGGCTTGGGGCGGCAGCCTGTCACCCGAAACACGGGGAGCCCTTCGGAGAGCTCCCCTTGCTTTGGGTGAGTGTCAGCAAGCCTCGCGCACCCGGCAGGAGGTCCCACCGGGTGCGCGAGGCTTGGGGCGGCAGCCTGTCGCCCAAAGCACGGGGAGCCCTCCGGAGGGCTTCCCCTGCTTCGGGCGAGTGTCTGCAAGCCTCGCGCGCCCGGCAGGAGGTCCCGCCGGGTGCGCGAGGCTTGGGGCGGCAGCCTGTCACCCGAAGCACGGGGAGCCCTTCGGAGAGCTCCCCTTGCTTTGGGTGAGTGTCTGCAAGCCTCGCGCGCCCGGCAGGAGGTCCCGCCGGGTGCGCGAGGCTTGGGGCGGCAGCCTGTCGCCTGAAGCACGGGGAGCCCTCCGGAGGGCTTCCCCTGCTTCAGGCGAGTGTCCAGCAAGCCTCGCGCACCTGGCAGGAGGTCCCACCGGGTGCGCGAGGCTTGGGGCGGCAGCCTGTCACCCGAAGCACGGGGAGCCCTTCGGAGAGCTCCCCTTGCTTTGGGCGAGAAGTCTCTGCTGCCCGGGCGATCTTAAAATGTTGGCGGGCGGGAGCGAAGCGTTCGCTCCCGCCCCCCAGCATTTTAAAATCTCCCCGGGACAGCAGAGACTTCGCTCCCGCCCGCCAGCATTTTAAAATCGCCCCGGGACAGCAGGGGCTTTTAAAATGCTGGCGGTCGGCAGCAAAGCCCTCCTGTCCCCGGAGCTTGCGGGGCGGGAGGTGGGAAGAAGGGCTTTTTTCCCACCGCCAGCCTTCAGAACAGCCTTCTGAAGGCTGGCAGTGGGAAAAAAGCCCTTGTTCCCCCCCCCCCCAGCCTTCAGAAGAGGTCGGGGGACAGACTGTCCCCGGACCTGGTCTGAAGGTGGTTTCCCTAGGAACGCATTAATTGATTTTCAATGCATTCCTATGGGAAACCGTGCATCGCAAGATGAAAAACTCGCAAGAAGAAAAAACTTGCGGAACGAATTAATTTCGTCTTGCGAGGCACCACTGTAAAAGCTTT